AGACCAAACAGAAGGTGTCAGCTCTAATATCCCTGCGTCTCAAATATAGTTGGTGTTGGAGAGATGACCCGAAGTGATCGTATATATACACCTGAAGAGTTGAGAAAAGAGCAGACAAGAGAAAAGGAGAGATCTTCAAAGGGAAAGGCCAAATTGGGAGACTCTGAAGATATGGATGAAGGGAAAACACTTGAAATAAAAAAAGGCAGTATCTGACAAAGAAGCTTATGAATTTTTTAAATTTATTAAGCAAAGTGAATATCAAGTTGTAGAGCAATTAAATCGCACTCCAACTAAGATATCTCTTTTATCCCTACTACTGAATTCTGAGCCACACAGGAAGATATTAATAAGGGTGCTAAATGAAGCACATGTCAATCATGACATAACTATTAACAAGTTTGGGGGCATTGTCGGTAATATTGCTTCAAATAACTATTTCTTTCACTGACGATGAAGTACCTGCTGAAGGAATAGAGCACAATAAAGCGTTGCATATTTCTATGAAGTGTTAAGATCATATCATTGCTAGAGTGCTTATTGATAATAGGTCTTCTCTGAATGTGATGCTAAAAATGACATTGTCAAAATTACCCTATGATGGATCGCATATGAAACCCAATGTCATAATAGTGAGAGCCTTTGATGGAACAAGGAGGGAAGTCATTGAAGAAATTGAAATTTCAATTCAAATTGGTCCTTGCACTTTTCAAATCCTATTTCAAGTAATGGATATTACACCAACTTATAGCTGCCTGTTGGGGTGGCCCTGGATTCATTTTGCTGGAGTTGTACCATCTACATTGCACCAAAAGTTAAAGTTTATTATTGACAATAAGCTAGTAATTGTCTCTGGTGAAGATGATATGTTGGTGAGCAAGCCTTCATCCACTCCTTATTAAAAATAAATGTTGTCGTAATGATTAACTTTTATCACATGAAGATGCAATTGATACGATGGTATTACAAATATGAGCTTTAGTCATTTGAGTATCCAATTGATACCATGCTTATTCCGTAAGTGTAAATATATATATATATATATATATATATATATATATATATACAATACATATATGTTTTATTACTTATTATTTTTCAAATTATAAATCAAAATATTTTAATTTTATACATAATAATAATAATGAGACATTTTAGAAATATCTTTGAATTTTTTTTTAATTCGTTTTATTTTTCTAAACAATGATGTTAATAATGGTGGAATGAATAAGAATAATGTTGAAAATTAAGTTTTTTTTTTTATGTTATATAATTGTCTTTTCCTTAGTTATTCATTTATTTGTCTCGCTTAATTGTTCATTAATATTACTTTTTATTGTTAAGTTGATATAATTTGTCTTGAGTTCATATTGTCTTTTATTTTATGATTGATAAGTTATATTTTATTTCAGAATCATAATAAACAAATAAAATCAATTCAACAATTTACAATGCTAATGTGTAGCAACTCTACCTTTATGCATTATAAGTTGTCAAAACCTATGTGTACCAATGTTATCTTAAGTTTTACACAACATCAATATTTTAAAAAGTAATCAATTGTTATTATTATTTTTAATTAAAATCTATCATCTATAATATTTTTTTATTGTATTAATGTGACAATTTATAGTATTATTGTGTAGCGTCTCTACCTTTACACGTTATAAATTTTCAAGACTCATGTGTACTAACGTTATCTTAGGTCCTATACAATATAAATTTGTAAAACACAATTTTAATCTTTTAAATCAATTCAAATAAATCTATTCTTTTCATCAAGAAAAATAATCTTATTTTATTTTACTTTTAATTTTTTTAAGTCATATTTCTAATTTTGATAAATTAAATAATCAAATATTTGATTACTTAATTTTATTATACAAATTTTGCTATATAAATGTGCAATTTACATTGTCTTCGATCGATGAATAAGTCATGAGACATTTATGTATAGCTTACGTTATCTTAAATTTCTCTGAATATTAAAATTTTTGAATTAAATTATATATTAAAAAAATAATTTTTTATAAATTAAAATATTTGATCTTAATTACCACACTTTTTATAATTACTTACAATATGGATGTATGATTTTCCTTTACCTTTCGTATTGTTTATGGTATGGCAACATGTATAGCTGCATTATCTTGTATCCTAAAATATATAAACGATTCTTATTTCTTTTCTCTTAAAATAAATATATAAGAATTAATTTTAAAACATGTATAGCTCTTTTAAAGCCTCATAAATTTCTAAATTTTTATATAGAACTACGTAACTTTGAATTTTCTATTGCACTCAGCAATGCGTAAAAGTAGAATCATATTCGTTGAGTCAAAATAATTTTTAAAAAAATAATTTTTTTCTTTTTCTAAGATAAGATAATATTTTTAATAAATAAATCTTCTTTCTTTAAAAATAAAAATAGCAACATTTATATTTTTAGAGATTAAATAAATACTTTTTAAAATTATAATAAATTTGCACAAATAATTTAAAGTGGTTGTTATTTAAACGGACGTTGTAGGTGCTAACACCTTCCATACACGTAAATGATTCCCGAAATCATTTTTTGTTTTAAAAATTAAAATTTTAAATTTTTTCAAAGTTTTATTTGATAAACTTTGGTGGCGACTCTACTAATTTTTCTTTAAAACATTTTTTGGCCGTATCGTTGCGATTGCTCAGTTGCGATAGTATAAAATATATCTAAAAATCTTTATAGCAGTTAACAGCAAAAATAAAATGCTTTAATTTCTAAAAATTTTAATAAGGCACCCAGTATGTAAACGTTAAGGAGACACTTAATCTGGACTGTTTATCTTCAATGATAATATTATTTAGAATTTTATTATTGTATTTTTATAACTTTAATATAATAATTGTGTTATTTTTTTATAAATTTTTTTAATTTATAAATACTTAAATTCAGTCCTTCTAACTTAAGTTAACAAAACTCTATTATTTATTGCTCACCTCTCACACCACCATAATCTGGTAACTGGATCTGTCCCTACACGGGCCATATTTAGTTTTGAAAATCAGAGTTACTTTCTGAAGACTAAATACAAATGGCATTTTTCTGAATCAAAATTAACATATAAGAGATTATTTACCTTTTACTTAAAGATATCAAATTTTTGGGGTGTATGAGATAATTGCAATTGCTGAAACGCTACATGACATGTATCTTGAATAAAAGTGCTATATTTTGAATTTTTTAGATTTAAAATAAAATAAATATGAAACAATGTTCTTTTTTTTTGTGTAATATCAAAATGTCTTTTTTTAATACATGGGGGTGCAATTTATAATTTATGGCCAGTGCTCATAAATATTATAAAACATAAGTTGTACTATTGTTATACAACTTATGCTCAAGTAAGGTGTTGAATTAAGCACGAGAGTGCTCATCCTTGAACTAGAGTAATCTTATAAAAATTGTCTTTAATTGAAGCTGGCACAAGGGAAGGTGGGGGCTGAGATTTCTAGGGTCATGCATAATTGATTTACAATAGTAATTGTATAGTCTAGAGGTGTTTAACAATTTCATCTTTTATTGATCAAAATTTACATAAATTTCTATCACAGGGAAAAAGCAATTTATAGTACTATATAAGCACCGCTACATGTCAATTATGCGTTACTCCCAAAATCTCAGTCCTTACTTTTACTTGTGGCAGATCAAAAATAAAATATTTTCAAAACGACTCTAGTTCAAGAGGATGAACACCCTCATGCTTAAGTGAGCACGATAAAATATAAGTTGCACTACTTTTAGGTGATTTTTTCTTGAGCACAGGAGGACCCATCCTTGAACAAAACATAAGTCGCATGATGCGACTTATGTGCAAATTATAAATTGCACACCACATTTATACAATTTATTATTAAAAAATAATATTTTAAAATATTTTGGAAAGAGACTATATTTAAAGTTTCATTTTTATTTCATTTTAAATATACAAAAACTCTTATATTCTCGTACATGTACACCATAACATAGATATTTAATAAAGACACTAGGTCCAATCATCAACCGAAAAGAATTCAAAAACAACCCAACCCAAGGAGTCCAAGTCAATTTGGAAGAAGACAAACATGATCGAATTCATTTCCAGGATTCTCTACCGTAACTACGCCCTAAAGTTAGTTATGTTTTCACTTTCGCTTAAACACAAGTGTAAAAATAACATTAACTGCAAAGAGCAATTGGCGCAAAAAATACAATGGACCCTAACCCATGAATTCAAGAACTTGAAAAAGACAAACTTACGCAAGCGGTCAACAATATCTCAAACGCTCATCACGTAAAACTACTCGGAAACATCAACCTGATAAAGGTAACCTTTTATTAAGCATCCAATGAATGTATCTTTAGCAAAGAAGAATGAAAATAAGTAGTTTATCAAGAGCTGCTTTCAGAGTAACACATTTTGGTTAATAGATTAAAATGTATATTTGTTTATATTCATAAAAACAGCTATAAATGTGTTCGTAATGTATAAAAATCAAGGAAGATTACAAATATTTCCCTTTAATAGCAGCTCATTTCTCCCTGGCTTACATTCTTCTTTCTTTCTCTATTCTTCTTAAGCTTACTAATCTCTTTCCTTAAATTTCATTCTGAAACAATAATAATTTTTTTATTATTTCCCTAATAAATTAACAAATAACAAAACAGTAATGACTTGATGGAAATCAAGTTATGTTATTGCTATGTTGAAAAATAAATTGGTTAGATTATTGATATGCAGTATTCCTTTATTTTATTACTCTTAACATCTGATACTTATTTTCTATGAATGATTAGTCCCTATAATTTCTACTTATCTAGGTATTGGCCCATTCAAAATAAAATTATGTATTCTATTCAATAAAACAAAAGGCTAATATCCAGAGAGAGAGAGAGAACCAAATCCAAAACGCACATGAGTAGAAAATATAGAAACATTTTTTTAAACCTGTTAATAAAAGTTACTAATAGGTGGTCCTCAATTCTGATTCACCGGGTGCATCAATCATCCCACAACACATTGAAAAATAATTGAGAAACGGGCTTCGATAAATAAGCAAACTTTAAGAAGATATGATAAATTTAGAACTATATACTTCCAGGTTTTAGGGGATGAGTATCATATTCATATCCAAATTACAGGACGATCGACACCAAAAACGTGTTCTTCTACACCTCTCCCATGTAAGAAAATGATTATGGGAAACTGAGATTCAGAATGCTTAAGAATATATATGAAAAAAATAAAATCAAGCAACAAAAGCATTTTGTGTTCATTACAAATGCTGCGTCAACACTAGGCTAAAATTCTTACAGAAGCAGATGCTTCCATTAGATGATCAGATTTCTTCTAAAACAGCCCTTCTCCTGCCAGCATAAATTTATTTTAGTCAGGCATAATAATACCAATCAATGAACAAACTTTGATCTTATGGCTATGTCCCATACCCACATAATTGACTTCTGAAAAAACCGACATAAAGCGCATGGAAATCACTATTAAATCATGACATTATTTGCAACTAAAGTTAAAGAACTTACGCAACTCATCCAAGGAAGTTTTATCAACGCTCTCCCCACTCTTGATGAGACGAATTTTCCCTGAAGAAATAACATAGAAAGAAACAGCATGCAAGATGTAAGTTTGAAAGGGTAAGCTAAATTGAAAAATTTTCTATTTCAGTGAGTTCAGAAACCTTTTAAGCCAACTGTTGTCCATACTTAATGCACGTTGTAACATGTCATGTGAGAAGTGCACTGCTTGCTGCCTCCTTTTAAACAACATAAAATCTACTTTCCAGTTCTATTGCAAGAAAAATGCCTATGCATTTTGTCCATGAATTAAATAAATGACCACTGAAATTGACTGGTGATTGCTTGGAAAAAATGAAATTAATTGTAATTAAGCAATTAGTTTACGCACAGCAAACCCTTAGACATAAAATAAGCTTTAAGGTATGATAGGATAAAATATACTACAACAATTTGATTAACATTGATAATGAAGAAGCTAGTCCAAATCCAAATTGTGTAAAGCTTAAGCTTTGGATAATAGTCACCTTTACGCCAAGAAAAAAAAAATCCCTTTGGTTTTTAATTGAACATAAGTATTTTGTATCCTTTGTGAATGCAGAAGCAAACGACTGCACCCTTGGTTTCAAAATGATTAATAAAGAATGAAAAGAAATTGCATAAAAATTGCCATACCATCACGACGAACACATATCTCTGGAATGCTTTTAACTTCCCCATTGATGCTATCATTATAAACTCTAGTCTCAATGTCACCCTCAACATAAACTGAAGAGCTGCATTAAAGGTTCAAGCATGAATCTGGAATGTTTACACTGATAATCAAATATTCCCTCATATAAACACTTACTTTTTGAAGAGTTGCTGAACTGCATAGGCCCCGAGTACAACATTATGCACAGCAATCCGATGCCACTGAGCAGGTTTTGGCAAATCCTTTTCTCCTACAATTCTCTGGTCATACAATCCCCCCGTTCCAACCGTAAAGATGGTTACATTCTTGCCATTCCTCAATATCTTTTGCACAGGGGTTTGGCCAACTTTTCCACAAATAATTGCCTGCTTAGAATAAGTATCACGTTGGTCAAATTATTTGCCAGGTGCGACAAGCAAATATTCATTAATTGTCATTTTATGCCAAGGAAGATAAATATTCTTGTTTTTCGAAGCTTTCAACTGTTTTAAAGTCTCAAGCTTGTAAAATTCCTTCCTTCGGTGATGCAAAAAAATAAAAAATAAATCTCTCTTAAAACCTCATACTGCAAAAACTTTACCTCGGTCAAAGCATAGCAAAAATGCAAAACCTGATACACTGAATTATTGCACACCAAAATACAATCTATAATTACCAAATAAAAATTTCATCCCTAGAGATGTGTCTATAATAATAATATAGCATGAATTAACACCATCCAATACCTTGTGCACACCACGGAATCCCCAACCCCTCTTGGGATCCACACTCTGCAGTTTTAGCTTGGGCTTTCCACCCAGAAAATCATCAAATTCTTCATCCAATCCTTCCTTCGTTGGTTCATCATTATCTGGTGAAGGTCCATCACCTTCACCTTCACCTTCACCTTCACCTTCACCTTCACCTTGAGATTGTAACGTCGAGTACCATAACGTCCCGCTTCGTGGCACACCAGCTGATAATTCAGCAACAAGATCACAGTTAATATAACTCAACACCTTTTTGTTATGTGTGTTAACGAAAATGAAATAGCAAGTGAGGGATAAAATTCTCCTTTCAACTAAAAAACATGACCAGAGCTCATAAAAAATTAGGGAGGAAAGCGTAACTTTAGACGATTGAACCAAACGCATGTGTTGTTAGCATAACCACATTCAATTTATATTAGAAAACGCAAGGAAAGAGACACACCGCTGAAAGAGACTCGGAGATGCTTCGCAAGTTTCAACGCCACAGAATTCATTTCCGGCAACAACCTTCAAAGACCAACAACTGCAAGGGTTTAGCCAAACCCTCCTCAGGGGAACGCACACGGGTTTATGCAATCGGGCTAACTCCGTAAATGGGCCCGGCCCATATATGTTAGGGTTTCTCACAAACAAAAATAACAGAATGCTATTTTAACATTAGGGCGTTTAAAATGTTTTTTTTTTTTAATTATTTTATGTATTATTCAAACTGTTTGTCTGTTTCATACATAAAATAATAAAAAAATCAAAAAAATAGTGACTTGGCATGTTTAAATTGTTTAAGCTGCATGTACCTTCCCACTTCTCGACTCCTAGTACGTGGGTGTTGAATTATGTTACCACTAACCCCATGTTCTCTCTAGGCTAAGCGCAACCTCGATTACTATAACCGCTACATCGTACCTCATTCATTAGCACGCCTGCATGTACGAGGCGGACTAAGATTTCAAGGCCACAAAAATGCAGAGGAAGTTTCGCTTCCGCGTCAAATACAAAGGCACTTGCAGTGCTAACAATGAGAGAGATAACGGGAGCACAAGATTTACGTGTGGAAATCAATTCTCAAGGAAATCAGTTGCGTCAGCCTTCTCTGGTGTCCTTGGGAACAAGACATCACTTAGCAAGAATGCTTCCAAACTGAAGAAAAAGGAGCCTCTTGACGACACGGGAAATGGAAAAGCGTGCAAGTGGCACATCCATAGAAGGGCATCATTGTCTCAACTTCTTACACTGGAGGAGACTTGGGACCCTGATCGAGCAGTTGTAGGACAGCAGAACAGAAAGGATAGGCAACGTGTGAAAATGAATCTTCCTTTATTACACAAGGAGAAAGGATGGAGGGCCAAATTTAGTAATGACGTGCATGGTAATCCGAACAGTGTTGTCACCATGTTCGGACAAGTGTGGAGGAAAGCAAGTTTACGCCACTTGATTAGGATTCCCTCCAAAATACTGGTCATTCGCCTAAAGTTGAAGATGATGAGGTCTTTTTTAAAAAAGAAAGTGACAAAGCAGTATGAACAAGGAACTGAAGACGAAAATGGAGACAGGGAGCTATGCAAGAAGAGGATTCTCATGGGAGTGAGATGCAGGCCGTTGAATTCTCCAAGTACCCCAAGTTACGATACACATGCCCTTCTCTTACCAAGAGATACTTTCTTGACAAGGGTGCCACGCCGTTCTTGATCCCTCTCTTCCCTGCTTGAGTTGGGGTGCTGCTGGCTCTCCATTCTTTCTTCCTTTTTTAAATATCTTGTAGAAAATATTTCGTACCTTAGCCTTGGCTTTCGCATGGAGCATTAGGTTTTCTATTTCTCTTTTTTTTTTTGTCTGCAAAGAAATGCTACACTTTCTGGTTTTTACCATTTGTAGAAAGCGGGCAATGTCATCATGTTCTTCCCTTTTGTCAGTAGACTGAAGCTATGTCTGCAACGTCTTATGTCGGAGTCAGGTTTTAACATGCAATTTCCCCGTTAGTGTTAAAAGGATTAATAAAATTGTCACTTCTAATTGTGTTAGTAAATTACCGGAATTTAAAATTCTTTCAAGTGAGCAATAAAGTTTACAACAAATTATACACAAACGAATGATGCGGTGATCTCTGAATTACTAAAACAAGCCAAATCACAGCATTCAACGCAGAAATTTAATTAGAGATCATTGTATGCCCCAAAGACGAGGCTGCTGAAAATCACATCAGAGGCTCTAGATGGTCTCACTAAAATAAAGACAATAAATAAAAGGCAGCGAGCCCGAGCTGGTGCAGCAACACAAGTATACTTATGTGACAAAGATACCCTTTTGACTTGATAACTGCCAGCAATAGTAGTACAGAAAAAGCAAGCAGCATCGAGTGCCACAACCCACAATGTAACATGGATATTTACCACCTTTTGTTTGTAATATCAGTGAAGTCAAACCCAGACTAATTCATGCCACACTGCTCAAGATCAGACCTTCAGCGGTTTCAAACCCAGCGCTGCACGTAGCTTGTTCGCTTCTGCGATCTCTGGATCAGGGTGGTCAGTTCCATCATCCTTCTTCTCTTTCTTTTCTTTCTTCTCCTTCTTCTTCTTTGGCTCACCATCCTCAAGGCCATCTCCATGCCTTCTAGGACTTGCACTACTCTGAGCATGTCTCTTTCTGTAGTCCCCACCATCATGTTCCTTGCGATCCCTACTCCGGCTACGACTCCTTGAATGACTTCTTCGTCTTCCGCGGTCACGATCCCTCTCTCTCCTCTCCCGCTCCCTGCCTTCTCTCTCACGACCATAATCTTTTTCTTCCCGGAGGCGATGGCGGTCCCTGTCCCTGTCCCTATCCCTGTCTCTGTCTCTGTCTCTATCCCTGTCCCTGTCTCTGCCACGGCCCCGCTCTCTATCGTAATCTCTATCATAATCCCTGTCATAGTCACGATCCCAGCAAAAGAATCAATAAAAAAATGAAATGTAAAGTTGATAAGCCAATGAAACTCAAATGACAAAATGTATCCATTTTATACTCTTGAAGAAAGCTCTGTTCAGTTCATTATATAGTCAGCAGGAGGGAACTGATGTCAGACAACCAACAGAATGTCAATGAATCACAATAATGATTTGATCTGTTTAAAATTTTTATGCAGGACAATATCAAGGAAGAAACAGTGAAAAACCAAGTCTCAAGTAACCTGTTTGCTTTAACTTCAAGCAGTAAATAAAACATTCAGATGAATGTGCATGTTGAATGGTTCTTAAAATTACATATTATGATTGTCACTTCATTACCATAATGCATCCCCCACAAGAAGCTTGCAAGCAACTCATTTTCAAATAGCTCAGTCACATGCTAATGGAATGCAATCACAAACTAAAACTAACAAGCTGAAGAGAAAGAAAGAATAATGTACAACATTTTGGTCAAAGATTGTTGGGGCGATAGAGTTTCAGTCAATATTCTTTCTAATCATGTATTTTCATGTGCTTTTTTATTTTATTTTTTTGGTGAATTGTGCTTTTTCTATTTATTTTTTAAAAAAATTCAGTAGGATTCCTCATCTTTCTGCTGTCCCTTGCACTATCTTCTAATCTTGCCTAGTGAAATTCCAATTATTATACAAAAGTTTTGCATAAAATTAAACTATCTCTGATAGATCCTCAGTAGTAATTACAAAGGAAAAGGTAAAGCATATGGGGCAACACATCAAAGTTGGGTAAACCAATTGCTGCAAAAACCAAATTGACAGTCAACAAAATTAACTTATCAGTTAAAAAATTGGACAGGAAGATGATCCAATAAATATTTAACAGAGTAAACCCAACTCTTCAATATATAAGACTATGCCCGCGGTGCACCATCTACCCATGCAACACAATTGTTTGACCCATCATACTTCTCACTGCACACTGTCAGTGCAGAGAAACCTGGCAGGATCGTTAAACTTTACTATAGGAAGCAGTTGTATACCACAAATGGCTCTGAATGCCAGAGTGGAAATAGAAGTGTACCTTTGAAAAAGTACATGTAGTGTGTGTGTGTGTGTGTGTGGCTCTGTGCAAATTCAAAAACAGCTTCCAGTAGAATTTATTCATATTTGTCATAAATAAAGCTCAAGAGTTTTCCTAGAATCAAATTCTTATAAGAAAATTACAATTAGACCCACAGGTTAAGATACACACTCACACTAGCAAAGAATTTGATGAAAACCAAAATGCAAGTGAAAAGAAGTACCAGAAAAACTTTTTCAATTACATGATTCTCATTTACATCAATCTATTCAAATTCATACAAAACACTCGAACTCAAACAGAGAACAGTACCTGTATCTATGATTATCACGTCTTCTGTCCCTATCTCTTTCCCTTGTAGGGCTTCGCCCACGGTAATAATCCTGTATATCATTCAATAATTAAACCAAAACATCAATTTAACATCCAAAAAACAATATAAAAGAAGATTTCATTAATTAGGAAAGAAAGGGACCTTCTCATAGGCCCTATCTTCAAGTTTATCAACAGGCTGATCATTATCCTCTTTCTCTTCTTCCTCCTCAAAATCTTCTTCAAGCGCACTTCGTCTAGGTTCTAACGAACCAAGAGATTCAAGAGTCCACCTATGGAAAACAGAAGACGAGAACTAAGCATCTTTACACCGGGAAAAAAAAAGGATCTGCAATCTCTATTTTACTGTATCAAATATCAATTTCAGTCTACCAATAAACCAAGAACTTCCCCAAAAATAATAACCCTAAAAGATAAGACCATTTTTATCCATAGCAAAACAACCCAGGAAATTGCTCAAAGCACAATTTAAAAAGAAAACGGCAAAGATAGAATCACCAACAGCTTTAAGACTAAACATTATTACAACAACAACAAAATCAAGCCTTATCTCATTAAGTGAGGTCACCTACATAGATCATATAATGCCATTGAGCTTGGTCAAAAACTAAATTTTCGTAAATGTGGTTAATCAGAAGGTCTTTTATAATAACTTTGTCTAAGGTTCTTTCGATCTCCCTTGACCCCTCTTTACCGGAGTAAGACTCATAGTCCACTCTCCTTACTTGCACCTCTTAAAGTCTTCTTGCACATGACCAAACCACTTCACTATCATTCTGTATCCTGTCTTTTTTCTTGTGTGTCCCCTCATTACCTATGCCTTCTCATTTCTGAGACTTCCACTTTTTTCTCATGTTGTTCCTTTAGCACTAAACATTCCCAGAAAGAAATAAAAATAAAGATACCTTTTCTTGACGCGTGGCAACGCAATATCACAGGAATAATCTGTTGTGAGAAGTTCATCGATGACCTCATCCACGTGTGTCAATGTAAACTCTGCAACAAACATTAAGAGCAGTAAAATACTAAACACGTGAGCGATCGATAGGACGAACTACAAAATGAAAATCGACAAGGAACTTACGTCCATCAGATAGCTTTCGCCGGAGTTTCCGATAATCGTTGTATAAGGGCTCAAGGTAACGATATACGTCAACATCAGATCCAGTGAGACGCAAATAAAAGGCACCAAGAATCCTCACATATTTGTAATCCTCGTTCTTGATGAACTCGATCACGATTTCTTTCTCTGGCTGAATTTGGAGCATCTTCATGACCAGGCACATGAATGGAGTGGGTTTGCGGTTGCCACCGTAGGTACCTCCGAGGTGGTCCAGTTCCATCGCCTTGTCCACCAAGGTTTCCGCCGTTAACCCGAAACATTGTTCCTTCCAATACGTGTTCTGGTAGATCTTGGACCGGAGAATCTTCTCCACCAGGTTCTGAGGGTTCGTCCCTCTTATGCTCTTTGCTGCTGGATCCGTGCGATTCGCCATCGAATACGCACCGTCACCGGAATTGGATTACATAAACCCTAACCCCAATCAGGGTGCTAGAGTCCAGAACGATGGCATGGGTCACGTTTTAATTTATTTTTCTTAAATAAGAGAGAAGAGATTTATTTTTATTTTTTCTTTTACGATAATTTAGTTAAGATATAAAAACTGCAATCACAGCGGGCATTTGGTCTAGTGGTATGATTCTCGCTTAGGGTGCGAGAGGTCCCGAGTTCAATTCTCGGAATGCCCCTTCATTTTCATGAATTTTTTTTTTATAATTATTATACGAATTATTCTTTTATTTTGATGAATCTTATTTATAATTTGTTCGTACTTCTTTCATCTTATATTAGGTGTCATTAGTACTAATGCATATATTTTAAGAAACTGACTACTTTTATCAATAATTATAGTAAAATAAACTAACTTTATTAAAATGATTATTATAAGTATTACAAATTTTGTAGTGATGTGATAATTAATTTTAAAGTTATTTTAGTAATTAATTGACAAAAATTATACCTAATAAACTATGATATTTTTTTAAAATATATAATTTTTATTGATATTCTAAAGTGACTAGAAATTTTTTTTTAAAAAATGTGATTATGAAATAGAAGTACTTTAATAAATTTAAGTCAATAATAAAAAATGTTGTCAAAAAAATTAAGACTGCATAAATATTAATGTAAGATTTATATGTCTGTGCATAACATAATACACACACTTGCACAATATTGGTTTCATTCTCCTCAATTCACTCATCCAAGTTCCAACCAAACATAGCAAGTCTATAATTGGTGCATACAATTATATTCTCCTTGTTCGGACTGCAAGAAAAGTTTGCTGACATCGACAGCAATTTTCTTTTTCCCAAATGCAACACGTTCATGATTGGCAATTCCGACCTTGAAAACTCTGGTGGTTTTATATTGAAATAGGAAGTTGCAAATTTGTAGGAAGCCACTGTTGCTAAAACACCTGTTAATAGAGAATCAGCCCTCCAGAATGCAAAGTGATAAATGGATTGGGTTTTAGCAAACTTCTACATGGAGCTCGGTTAAAGCTCAACAATACACGCTAGTTCGCGGTTTCTTCCAGGCAATGCTACCAGAATGGAAGTCTTCATCTCATCTGTCTTCCAGGCAAGATGCAATGGAGGTCTTCTCATCCCAAAAATAACGAATGTGGGTATTTAAAATGTTGAAGTAAACTTTCAATTTTCATATAAAGGAGAATTGAGACACAACCCCAAATAAAAGACGTCGTTTGAAAACTAGAGATAAAATATATAGAAATATTGAATATTCAATTCGAGGATGGAATTCCTTCCTATATTTTCTAATTTCAATGCAGTAAAGACAAATTGACAATTGATGTTATATGGAGTACCATAATGTGAAGAAAATTAACAGATATACATTTTAGCTAGAAACACGAATATTATACCTAAATATAAACAATAAAATTGAGTTTAACTAGAATAAATTAAGGTATACACGAGTGTATAGACATTTACCATTTTATGTCCAAGCTGACCTGATATTGACGAGACAAATTGGTGAATCAAAATCTAAACAACTAAGCTGATCAAATTACAGATGTAAAGAACTACTCTAGTATAATACAATTAATCTTATCGTTGGGCCTGATCGGCTGTGTGGTTGCTTGTAGTAGATGATGATGCTGTCCTACCATTCAACATTCCATTGTCCAAAGGTGGGGAAGATCCCCACTTTCCCTCCGATTCAGTGGGTTCTATCACTTTGACAGATCCATCAGTTAACCCAACAGCAAACTGGTTAGGTTCCAGTGGATGAGCCGCAACCACAAGAGGATACACAGCTTGGCTTCTGCAACACAACACGGATCAAGTGTCAAGCTCCAACCCTCAAATTTTGCAAATGCAAACAAAAAATCATCACACATCCTTATCCGAGGAACGATTTTATTTTATTTTTCACAAAAGACATAGTATCGATGATCTTCAAAGTTGAATATTAATACCATATCAGCATTAATATCCATAGATTGAAACAGCAACAGAAACCTTCTATCAAATTACTAAGAAAATTTTTTACTACACCATTGCGCAAAAGCAACCTTGAATAAAATGTTCAATGTTTAATACAAGACAAGTGTGTGTTAGTAACACAATATTATCGAACAAAGTGCATGTGAAACTCAATGAAGTGTGCCCCACGTTATTTGGTGGGACCAACATGAAATCATTCCAATAATATAAAGTGCGTTTGCTAGCATTCTTATATAATAAATTAAATCCAATTCACTGAGCTGAAACTTACCCACTTAAAGCTGCTGGTGACAAGCATATTGATGGTGCAATACGACATCTTAGTCTCAAGCTATCAGCATCAAAAACCCCAATGTTGGCATCACAAAATGTAGCACATATTAACTGACTGTTACAAGAATAAGCTGCATATGATATGGGGGCAGGCAGAACATCTTGAGGAACCCACTGTGGCAAAAGAATTTGACCATATCACTTTTTAATTTTGTCAGCAACCAGCAGATTAATCAATATTAGAAGAAAATTCATACCTGCCGAATGCGTTCCATTTTAGAGGCATCATATATTGCCAACTGAGTCTCATGGACTACCAATAAGCGAAGTTGATCAGTATGGAACTGTACTCGTGCATCACCAACAGGTGACTTTCCTGCAGGTAGTTGTATTGGGATCGACTTCCTTTTCTCCCATGTATCAATACTCCACACACAAAGCTGTAAAACATAATAGAATTTCTTAACATCCAAAAACCAAAAACATTGAGCGTGGCAACAGGTAATGTTTCCTAACAGGGTAGACAATGCAATTGATAGAGCACTAGAGGCCTAGAAAAAGACAAAGAAAGTGCAGAGAGCCAGCAAAAAGCTTTCACAAGAGTGCATCCACTTTGAAAGGTTTTCCATGCCACTTTGAATCTTGTATGAAAGGAGATGGGTTAAAAGACTTACTTGAGCATCAGCACCAGATGAAACCAATATGTTAAGATTGGTTGAAAAAGCTAAACCAGTAATACGATTTTGGTGACCTTTCAATTTTGATTTCACCTAGAACATACCCCCAAAAGGAAGAAAAAAGGTGTGTTTGTGTGAGATTATTGATAATAATAGTGTAAATATCAAAATGAGAAAACAAGTAGTTAGAGATAGTAACTACCTCATCCACTCTGACATTATAGATGTGAATAGATGAATCCTCCATCCCAATGGCTATAATGTTGTTATCCTGGGGATGGAAAGCTAGGAAGGTAGAGGCAGGAGGAGGTGGCATAAATGTTGTCATTACCTATAAAAAAAGGTAAACTATTAAGTAACAAATAAACTTAACAACTGAATGGAATATCAAGGTTGTAAATCTGGACACACCTTGAATGTCATCATGTTAAATAGTGAAACCTTTCCACCACAGGCAGACATAACATACGAGTCATTTTTTGAGAGTGCAATGCACGGGACTGCTTCTTCAAGGTTGACACCCGAGATATCATTAGTCATAAGAAGACCACTGTTGGGTTGCCAATGCTGTGGAACAACACTGGCAGTAGCCTGTAATCATATAAAGTTCAGAATTCTGTTCTCTACTGAAAGAAAAAAAAAAACTCAAAAGCACAATGAAAAGAAAAGACTGAAGAAGGAAATATGTAAATTAACTATTTGCTTAAGACTACCTTCCCAGTAGGATTCTGTTCATTGCGAGCCCATTTCCAAAGTTTCTGGATACCATTTGAACCAAGGGCTAAAATACCAGCGCCAGAGTTTGTATATAAAAGTCGAACAACCTATACATGGATCAGAGCATTAAAACAGTGCACAGAACATAGACATTGTCATAGAATAATGGAAATCTCGTATAATCAATAGTCAACACACCTTGCTGGAAGAATCTGTGCTGTCAGGCATGGTGACTGACCGGCATTGGACAGGATCTATAATTTCAGACAGTTGCCATGGTTTAGCTCTATCTATTACATCTTCCACAGTTCTTGGTTTCTCTACACTTCGACCCATGGGATCAACTCCATTCTTGATTGAATAAGACAAAACCAATCCATGTGTTGCAAAGAGGTATTATTAAGATGCAGTAAATAATTCATAAGCCATGTCTAACTTAAAAAAGGTATCACATGCTAGTGTGTATCTGCTGCGCACAAGTGTGTAGAGAAATGAAATGAAACACCTATCAATGTCATCATGCCAACATCATAATAATGAACTAATGATCATTAAGTTCAGAGTCAGATTCATACAAGAATTGGAGAAGGCCTGACAGGGGAGCTTCTTTCAACTTTACAGTTGACAGGACTAACATTAACAGTAGAAGAGCCAGAAACCTATATAACATAAAGTAGACATCACACATACATATTTTGATCCAAACATGAAGAACAAGCAAAAGTTTAAACAGCATCACTACCTTGATTGTAGCTGATTCGATAGGTGACCTCAATGCTTCAAATGCTGGAGTTTCAATTGTTCTTAAAGATCTAAGACCAGTAGCATTAGCAAGTATCTTGAATCCATTATCCACAGTAGTAACAGCAAGGATATTTCCTTCCTTATTGAATCTCAACCGTGGAAGGCCCTGAACAAATTCATACAATTATATAGGGGATGTTTTATGAAGTGTAGTTCCATCCTACATGACTTCAAATCAATTAACCACAAAATACCAACCTGTAATCCACCATCAGCATCTGTGCTTGTTAGAAGATTAATGTTGTCCATGTCCCAAAACTTCACTTGGCCATCTTCACCTGCAGCCAAAAAGCGATTTTGGGTGGTGTCAAACTGCACAACACCAGCAGATTTCTTTCTGAAGCCATTGTATGTTCTCTTAATGGCTCCTTCACTTTCATTCCATTCAACAAGAAAAGACTCCCCATCTTTACTTGTTCCACAAGAAAACAACCTGGAGAAAGGTGGGTAAAATAAATTGGAAGATATGATAAGACACTTCAATATAAATACATCTTAAGTATCCATTGAGAATGAAATTAAAAAACAATTACCCTCAGCCAAATCCAGCTTACCTAGTTCCATCAGCACTGTAAAGCATTGTGGTACACCAGTGACCAGGGGCATCATAGTCAACCCTAGAACCAATGTTATCATATAACCATGCCTTTATTTTCCCATCAATGGCAGTTGAAAATATGAACTGCAAAGTTACATTAACAACCTTTAGTGGGGGTGTGTTTGTATACATTTACATATAGCTTGCAAGAAGTTAAGTCAATACATATTCTTGTGTAAAGGAGCCAATACATGTGTGTACTGGGATGAGGGGCTGTAATTATATAGAACTACAATCTAAGAAAGCTAAGTTTAATGCAAAAATAACAACACATAAAGTAAAATTAAATAGACTAAAAATTTATCAAATTATAACAAAGCAGAATATTGCACAATGCATATAACCTTCCAAGACTACGACAACGACAACAACAATTAAGTCTTATCCCACTAGGTGAGGTCAGCTAAATGGATTATATAATGCCATTAAGCTCAGTCAAAAACCAAATTCTCTAAAATGTTATTTATCGCTAGATATATAAACTTCCAAAGAAACATTGAAAATTATAGATGTCTTAATAATGATGTCTACTTTGTACCTGAATGTTCTCTTTGTGATGGGGACAAATAGAATATACAGGTGCCTCATGTCCCTCAAATGTGAATAGTTTTCGTCCATTTAAATCCCATACCTATGAAGAACTTCATTTTCAGAAAAATAGATAATTTTTGCATAACCAAAAATAGCAATGAGTAGATTTTATGAACCTTTATTGACTTATCATCCCCACAAGTCACGACACACAGCTGTTTATTTGGATGAGCAAATGCCAAGTCATTTACGCCACCAACATGAGCATCAACCTGCATAAACAAGGAAATGTAAACCAAAGTGCAATCAAAACTTTAGCTATTTTTTATGAGAAGAATATCACCTCAATACGCTGGGCTAGTTCATTTGGATTTGATCCAGTGTAGGCATATAAGTGAATCAAATGTTTGGTAAAAGCAATACCTACAGCAAATCAACCAGTTAGATATTCACTTGTGACCTGACAGCCTCAAAATAGTTTCAGAAACATGAAGTATAACATACCAACAAAACTTCCATCAGGGCTCCATGTGACACGACTGACAGAAATAGGGGCATCCCTAACTGCAGCAGCCTGCAAAATTCTCAACTTTAATTACAACGGTTTTGAATTAAAAATCAGCAAGACTAACAGCCAAGCATAATAATATAGTTTCCACGACAGCTTAAGTAACATTTATTTTCTTGGGTCAGATTGAAAACTGAGGGTACTATATATAGAGAACAAGAAATACTGCACTGTATGAAACCTGGAATGGCAATGAGCATGCTGACATATCCCATATCTTGAATGGCTTTGAGACCAACTTTTCTCGTAAACTTAGTTCCCAGAGGGTAATTTCACCATTATTAGAACCAACTGTTCATCGGAAATACATACCATTAGAATAAAAAGTTTGTGACTTATGCATTGGTCAATATTTTGGCAACCAAGATTCTAAATATAACACAATTAATGATAAAAAATACCAAGAAGCAAGGTATGATGAGAAGGATGAAAATCCATGCTTGTCACGGCAGATCCTTGATGCAATGTCATGGTCACCGTTCTTGGCAGATCATCCAGTGACAAAGAGGCTTGTCGAGCCAAGGGATACGAAACCTTTAATTATATGAAATGAACCACGTTGACATGAGTCATGAACCATTACAAAATAATAAATAACATAAAAATATTTGGCATTATAAAATATGTGAGACAGCTAAATTGAACAGAAGTTTATCAAAGTTACCTCCTCTACCGAATGGCCAGGACGAAGTCTTTTCATTAGCTGTTCATGATCAGCATTCTGATAATCAACCATCCCAGGAGCTGCAGGAGGGGTTCTAGGACGTTTCAGGATAGACACTGTTTTAAAAAAGCATGGGCTTAAGTCGCAATGTTCTCTTGTGAAATTATTGAATAAGTACTATTCTATTTAGTATCAAGATACTATACTGTACACTAGGGTGCATAGCATGTAAATTCCATGGGAATTGTGATGGTAAGTAGAAAAAATAAGGTAGCCTTTTATTTGATTTAAAAGTTAATAGGGTAACTGCAATTTTAACCTTGATTCTGTGGAACTGGTATAGTTGATGCTGTCACAACCGCTGCTTGGACAGATGATGAAGCTGAGGCATTGGCCATCCAACCAGCCAAAGCATTAGCATTAGCAGTTGCGGCAGCAGGTGGGAAGGGCTATACAAAATAAAAAAGAAAATTATTAATTAATCAGCATAGTAGCAATTATACTATCAATCATAGAAAATGAAAGTAACCAGTTGTTTGAAATGCAAAGTATCATACACCATGAGCTCCAAGTGAAGTATAAGCAGTGGGCTTTGCAACTGCAGCAATTGGAAGATTGACAGGTGTAGGAGCCAGAGGACCATTAGGAGGTGCACATGTGTGATCTGTGAATAAAGTCTTTATATCTGGGTTTGTCCTTGGGTTTTTGCAGAGCTGGTGCTGCCAGTTTAGACTGCATTGGGCATAGATAAATTCACTGAGAAAAAAAATGAAAAGGCATAACAAGCTAAGAATCTAAATTTACAAGAGTCAATTAAAAAAGGAATGGGAAACTTTCCAAATTCTTCTCTTTTACTAAATAAAGCAATAATAATATATAAAGAGTTAAGACTTAAGACCTCATATAAATATGGAATATACTAGCTATACAATTCAGAAAGCAACAGCCACATGATTTACTTTTCATTTGTCCCATAGTTGCATCAACATCATGAACCATATGGGTCAAAAAAGACACGGCCTATCTATGCAGAAGTGAAAAAAAGAGGATACAAAAATAGAATATACTAGTTATACACGTCCAGAAAGCAAAAGCCATTGATTTACATTTCATTTGTCCCATAATTGCATCAAATCTTCATATATACCTTTGATTGATTAAAGTTCGCAGTCTTGATGACTTGAGGGTAGGGAAGAGAAGCTTATCACGAAAAAGAGGATTTGCCTCTATGAGCTTTTTTAGCTCTATCAACATAATGCTTCTAGCAGTTTTGGTGTCACCATACTTCGACAGCTGTTCATTCTCCCTGTCATTGAAACCATATCACTCAATTATCAAGCTTACTACTCAATAGATGATCCAGATGTACAATCTCATCCTCCTAACAGTCAAGAGAAGCCACTAACAAACAATGCATTCCATTAGATTATATATTCAAGATATTACCTGAAATTATTAAGAGTTAACAACTGGGTTATCTCTTTGTATAGCTCCTCATTGAAGGTGGAGAACACCTTTAAGTCACCCACTAATATCTCAACAGCCTTCGCCTTGTCTTGCCTAAAATTTTAAAAAAGCACCAGAGACAAAACAAGATGTGAAGCTTCACATAAAACATAAATATATTTAGAAAAAAATAGAAAAGATTCAATCTTCCATGTACCGATCAAGTGCTTCCAGATATTTCTGCTTCCTGATTTCAAAGAATATTTTCATTGAGTATCTATTATCATCAACTTTGGTAAAACCTGACAAGTACTTCTCAACTTCTTCCCACTCGCCAGCCTGCACTTTTTCCTCAAAGTACTTCATGTTGAAAAAGAACCCAGATTCTTTCTCAAGCCTGCATGCATTAAGAAGCGTTTAAAATAGTGAAATGAAGAGTCAAGCTGATGCCAAATGACCATGAAAATTCTTATAAAAGACAACTACAAAGAAACAGGAAACATTAACTTGATGGAGAGTCCTCAATTTTATTTTATTTTTCCATCATCTCAATTCATTTTCTGAATAAGAACCCTATAACTAAGCCTTTCTGGATGAAAGAAACAAGTTTATTACCATTGACAGGTATATAAGTTAGGGGATGTTTGGTTTCAAAAAACACTTTGTTTTCGATTTCTGTTTTTACTCATAACAAAATTATCATCTTATTTTCATTTTGTTTTTTGTTTTTAAAGATTTATACAGTAAAAAGAGAAAGAAAAGGTTATTTTCAGTGTTTACTTTACAAATCTTTAAGATCAATACGGTAGTTTTGTAATTAACAGTAAAAACAAAAAATGTATTTTCAAATTAAAAGCCCGTAAAATTTGGTATATTTACATACTTTAACAACAATGAAGAAACAACAATATATGCAATATTAATAATACCCTTGCCCAATCAACAGAGTAATTAAACCCCGATACAAATCTCAATGGTCGACACAAGTCAAGTAGATAATACACTGCATAGCAAAACTCTAATTCATATACTCACTTCCGAATTGTAAATTACAAGAAAACCAACAACGTTAAGACATGAAATTGAGAACGTTCCTTCCCTCCCTGATTCCTCTTTCTTCCCACATCAATTCCAAACACTTTTTCAGTAATCAGACCACAACTAAAGCCGAAAACCGTTACAAAACCCGATTACCCCCTTTCTTACCAAAACCCAACTAGACCAAAATTCAGAAACATATAGAACTCGCAAAGTAAGAGAAGAAGGAAAAGCCGGAAAAAAAAAAGAAGGAAAGAGGGCTCACCTGTGCACCGACTCCTTGAATTTCTCCTCCTCCAGAAATTGGAGTATGAGAAAAACCAATTCTCTGCTCAAAGAAGACATGTCGAGCGCTCAAATCTGCAACCGCACCGTTAATTTCGATCTTTAAACCCCGATCTTCGAACACCACCCACCTCAAGGCTAAAACAACACAAAAACGGCACAGAACTCCAATTCCACCGACTACAGACAAATCAAAGATGAACCACACCAACTCCCTCCCTCCACCTCAACTCCAAATCGAACTCACACAACCTCAAAATCCTCAAAATTTAGCGCCCCTTGAGGATTACATGTAAGAGGCACGGAGTTCGAGAATTTCTAGGGTTTGAAAGGCTGCGGATAAGAGGAGGAGAGAGAGAAGAGAGACTTGGTCTCGCTATCTTCGATGCGTTGTACAGGGTCTTTCTTTTTCTACTGACCCATCGGATATAAGTACCTGTAGTTATTTGATAAGCCATTGGGCTTATCACTTAGGCTTATCATTTCGTGAGTGATAAGACAACCAGGGAGAGTGTTGCGGATTCGAAACTAGTAATTCCAATCTAGTGAATATTCGCGACACACGTCCACTCGACCCCATTCTTTTTGTGCTGTCGTTTTCACTTTGAAGCGAGAATTCAATTTCTTCTCTTTAACTATGCATTTTCTCGCGATATGTTTTGGCGTTTGATTTTTCCGAGGATGCAAATCCACGCGCGGGCAGAATTTAATTCCAGGGCCCACATCTCGTTGTCGGTTTTTTTTTTTTGTTCTCCTCATCTGTTTGTCTCAGGTATCATCACATCTCTTTGTGGTCAATGTCTTTAGTCTTAACCAATTAATAATTCTATAATGGAAAACCCACAGGCCACAGGGCAGTCCTATTTCTGAAACTCAAAAGCAGCTTTCTTAGCGGTAGAACAATATTAATGAGACCAATAATTTCAACATCAATGTCATCATCTACATTATACTTTTTTTCAAAATAAATTAACCATTTTATCAATACTGACCTTCAAAATAATTTTTCTTTATTTAAAAATATTATTTTATAAAATAAAATATTGATTATATTTATGTTTTAATTTAATGTTTGTCTCTTATTAAAATTCTCTTACTTTATAATATTTAATTTAAAAATTAATATTAACATTTTTAGTCATTTTCTACCATGTCCAAATCAATAAAATTAGGTATTACTTTATATAATTTTAGCATCCTTGAAACTTTCCTAAAATTATATATTTTAATGTTTTTTAAATTCACAAAATAATTAAACTTTTTCAAATTATTTTAAATAATCTAAATGTGAAATCATTTATTATAACATTTAAAATCAAATAAAGTAGGCAATATTTCCTTTATCTCTAAATAATATTTAGTCAATTTTATTTTCCTCAAATAATAGTCATTTTATAATTTTAAAATATAATTATTTTTTCTTTCAAATTTATCTATAAAATAATTATTATCATACAATTTATTTTCTAATATCTATCTTGTAAAATTCTTAAAATAATAATTAAATTAATTTATAAATTTAATTTAAATACATTGACAATGTAAATTTTTTTCACACGAATACACAATTATGAAATGTCGTATTAATAAAAATTATTAATTTATATAAAAATTATCATAAAATTTATACACATAATATATTATAATTAACTGATGATTTAAAAAAATATTGATAACACATTAAAATTAAAATTTTAAATTATTAAAAATCATATTATTTGAAAAATATTTTATTTAAGGAAATAAGGCATTTTATTACTTAAAATATATCATTTTATTTAATAAAAAAATATTAAACAAAATAAGATAAAAAATGGTTACTTTTAAAATAATCTAATCTGCACTAATATCTCACATACATACATAACAAGAGTTTTTATTAATAAATTGTAAAATTTTATCAAAAATTAAGTTGTTGTCGAGGTTCTTCAAAAAAAAAAAATATTTTTTTTATAAAATATTTTTTATTATTTGAGAAGATAACATAATTTTATAACTTTACATTTTTTTATAATATTATGTGGATACATTGTATTTGTATTTTTTTTTTTCATAAATCACTAAAACAATAATATTGCTTTTATTATTTAGATAAAGAGGAAATAAATAAAAATTGACTACATTTCTTTGTTCTTATTTGGTTAAAAAAATGTGTTAAACGATTAATATTTTTCAATGGTATAACAAGTAAGTAGGTATGTAAAAACTATTGTTAATTTAATAAAAAAATAATTTTCTCTCAACTAGGGAGTTTTTTCATGTGAAATCATGTTTTTGTGTTTTTTCTTTTATACAATAAAACAGCAAAATATATATATATATATATATATATAACCAGAATGTTTTATATTTTTTACTTATTGTTAAAAAAACACGTCACTATTGTAACTATCTATTTAAAAATAAAGATTTTCTTGAAATTAAATAAATATATACTCTTTATTATTCATTAGATCGACTTTAACTATTTTGATATAATAAAATATATTTAAAACTTATATTTTTATACTGTAATAAACATTATTTTTATTAGAAACTTGTTTTTTTTTTAATAATTACAACCAACTTCAAAAATTAATAATAACAAAAACGTAAAACCATCTCCTCTACACAGTATTTATCAACATCTTTCCCTCTCTTTGTCAGTTCAAGTTTGTGCACATGCCTCTCCCTTTCTTAATTTTTATGCCACTTAAGAAATTATTGAAGAATCACAGCTAGTCAAAATTTTATAATTCAGAATATATATATATATATATATATTACTATATACTAATAAAAAAATATTTTTATATTTAAATATTGATACAAAGAATTTATTTGAAAAAAGAAAAAATAATAATAACGTATATTTCTTTTATAAGCAAATACAATTTAAATTTAATTATTTTCCTTTTTCTTTACTCTGCTAAATGAAACATTAAATATATTATTAAAATAAAATAAAATAATAAATATTAATAATGAGTGTTTGAAACTTGTTAGTTAAAAAAATGTTTATGATATAAGAAATAATTTAACACATGTAATTTAAAAAATTATAAAATTATTTAATGTGCATAAGATAATATTTGAAAAGAAATTTCAGGTGAATAAAATTATTGCGGTACGGAGCAACAGAATCGTGAGAAAGAGTGAGTAGAAAGTCATGTGAATGAAAAGAAGGCGCATGTTAATTGTCCTGACGCGCAGCATTGGATTATTTTCGATCCGATAATAATGTGAAAGATCATATTCACATCACTTCCTTGTCAGTACCGTAACATCCCTTGGCCTTTTCCAGACTGTGAAAGACAAACTACATTTTCTCCTTTTATTTAACTTTTTCTTCTCATTAAACAACAACCTACTATTCTACTATTCTATTGCATCTTTTATAATCAATATCTTAATTAAAATACATTGTTTCTGCAGCTTTTTTTATTTTAATATTATAATTTTAAAATAGTTTATCAATTTATAGATAATTTTAAACTATTTTTCTGTTTGAGTATTTTTTTTAAAATTTTTTATATTTATTTTGCCAAAAAAATATAAAATAAACAGAATCACACCACATATCAAATAAAAAGTGATTTCATAATTAAATTGGTGAAATAATAATCAAGTTTTGTTACTGTCACACACAAGTAATAGGAGAGTGACACATGACTATAATTGATATTCACTTGTTTCGCTATTAGAATTGCAAAAGTCACTAAATTAAAAATAATACATAAAAAAAATTCAAAATAACGATTGGAGAGTTTTTAGTACATGTGGCAATATTTTAGGTGATTCGCGTTGCTAGTGATAAAAGTCTGTTTTGTCATAGCTTTGGCAAAAGCAATCACAACTTGACACATGGTCGGCCACACAATAACTGTCTCTGACCTTCTTTCTTCCTCTTCTTTTTCATTCTCATTTTTATTTCTCTATCTTTTTCTTTCGTTATGCATCGACATTTTTTCTAAAATTACTTTAAAATTATGTTTGGTATTTGCATTGTGAAGGCTCAAAATTTTTATGGGTTAAGAGGTATATATAATTATATGTATATTTATATATTATTTATAATTTGATTTGTTAATTGAAAAATATGAGAAATAGTAAATATTAGATTTTTAATGTTTTTTAATTTTATGCAAGTGATTAAGTGGGTGGTGAGTACTAAAATAATTTGGTTAAAGGTTTATTAAGGTTAGTAAAAAAATTTAAATTTTAAATAGTTTTACATCAATTTGTATATAAATTAACATGTTTTTTTTAAAAATAAATTGTAATGTAGTTGATTAAAATGCAAAATTATAATTAACTGTTAAAAAGATAGGTTAAATTTAAATTTATATAATATGTTTGCATAAAATTGCTAGGAATATGATGAATGTAATATACATGATACGCATTTGGAGGTTGTCATCTAATGTGTGGATTTGACACAACCCTTTTTATACTTTGATGTCTATTTGATATCAAACAAATTTCCAATTTATCAGTAACATGCAAACCAATTAATGTCAAAAATCATTCCTATGTTGATAAAGTTTCTCCTTCAACAATTGCAAAAACTATTGGAAGGACACAATTATTTCCATCTTGAGTTGTTGCAATGAGTAATGTATGACGATACTTACCATATAAGAACGTCTCATCCACTTGTAATATAGGTTTGCATAATTTAAAAGCTTCATGACATTGTTTGAATGACCAGAATAACCGTTCAAATACTCTAACCTGTTATTCACTTGATAACCAACCACATACTATTTTGTTTCAATTTTATAAACAGATTCAGGAACATGTAATTGCATGTATTCTAACCAACGTGGCAAGGTAGCATATGATTCATCCTAATTACCAAATACTTTAACAATGGCTTTTTGCCTCGCCTTTCAAGCTTTTTATATGAAATTTTGTATCCAAACTGAGCACAAATTCGCTCTTGTATCAATGAAATATGTACCGACGGTTCTTCATTCACCATTCCTACATAAAATAAAATTAGTCTAGTTAATAAGAATGTCATTGTAAAAAATAAAAATACAATTAATATTTGTCTTACCAATAATGCATGAACAAATTAAATCAGAATCTAACTTTTGATGATCTTGAGAAATTCTCATATTGACACATGTATATGAACCACTCTATCTAATAATTTTTCACTTATTTGAATTCTTTAACAATGAAGCCCTCACTCTCCATGGACAACCACTGCTATGATTTAAGCATTTAACATACAAACTTGTTGGTTTAAACTCATCCACAAAAAAACTTTGATGAATCTTTATTGTGTGTTATTTTAATGCATTTTTCACATTTTCTTTACTGTCAAATAACAAGTCAACGAATAAAGGATCTCCTTCAACCCATGAAGTGACTTCTTCATAATGTTCTTCATTGATTTCT